TTTTTTAGAGTAATAGGGTTTGAGTGTTAAAAATTTCTCCACCTATCTAATGCTAAACAGTGGCTAAGTACCACCAAAGTGCAGTACCTGAACATGGCCAGCAGGGCAGCTCCAGTGAGGCTGCAGGTGAACTCCTGTAAGTCTACAGTCAGCCAGCCTTTGACGCTTAGGATCCACTGTGATCCAGCTGGGGCCAGCATGACGTTCACGGTGCACATGCGCACAACACTCACCGAGAGACGCTGAAGTAGTTGGATCAGTCGAGACTGTAGGCGCATACACATGCACATTCAGCATTATCATCAAGAGACACATACACAGCAGATCTGTGATATTGTTCTTCTCTCCAACAGTTGTGCATTTCATTATTGTGTTGTTAGTACACAGAGAGCTGGCCAAGTCCTGCATGATGGGTTATAAATCACTAGAATGCGACAGCAAGCAGCTGAAAACATATTCACAGCTTGTTCACAGTGTGTGTGTGTGTGTGTGTGTATGTGTGTGAGTGAGGGACTTGCAGTACCTGCCAGCAACCATGATTAAAGGGATGGTGGAAGGAGGCAGGTCAGCTATTTCTGTGCAGGGTTTCCAGGCCCACCCTGCAGGGATATCAATTAGCTGGATAATTAAATGGCTGCAACAAAAATATGTCTGTAATTCAGTGTATTTTATGAGAGAAAGTGTGCCCTGTGTGTACCAGAAGTGCTCTGATCCACAATGCCACATTGTAGGAGTTAAAACACCACAGTGCCACCATCTGACTGACTCCAACTGGGAGATTCAGACTAGTGAAGATCTGCACGTGCAAAATGGAGAGTTGCACCTCATACACATGCCCCAGCAGTCCCCAGTACATAAACCTCTGCTAATGACTCTGTGGGAATATAAGGGGTTCAGTCAACATAGCCGATGCTATTGTTGGCGAGTCAAACAAACGGGTTCACTCAGTGCTGCAGGACAACATCATGCAAACAATCACTGCAAGTACAAAAAACATTCACAGAGGTCTAGGCCGTCATTCCAAGTATTAAATATAGTTGCTTTGAAAAAACAGAAGTTGTTCAAGATGAGAGGAAATGTGCAGAGCCAGGTCACTCCAGGCCAAGAGGCTGGGTGTTAGGAGAGCAGAGGCACAAATGGAAAATCCTTTGTGCACACAAAGTAGAAACCGCCAGTACTTTAATGCAACATTTCAATCATCACCATCAGGGAATGTAGAAGTGTCATTCTGAATTACTCTATCCACTTTGAGGAAAAATGGAAAGCCACATAATCCACTGTTCAGAAAACTGAAAAGATTTTTAGGAAGTCTGCCATTTGGTGCCGATCTGTATATAAATCTAAGAGGTGAAACTTTCTTTAGTCAACATCAGGTAATTTTGATGCACCATAAAGACTTTACAATATTGCCAGTGAACAGTTTGTAAAACTAGGCATCACAATATTAAAAAAAAAAAGCTCTGAAAATACCTGGAGTTCTGTGCCTTTGTATTACTTACATTATGGGGACTGAAACCTGTTAACACACACATTGTGGGAACTCTGTCACAAGGAAATCACAGAATTTTAGGGTGGCAACATGGTTTAAGTCTTGGGTATTAGGGTCTGTTAGGTTTCAGGCAAGGAAGGACCCAAGACACAGACAGTCTGGAGTCTAGTGTTTATTCAGTTTAATAAAACTGAAGAGAAACAAAGGGGCAAGTAAAACAATGAAGTGTTCAACCTGGCAGGGCTTCAAAATACAGGTACAAAACTTTATTCTAAACAGAACAGTCAAGGAGCTACATGAAACAAACTCTAAATAACAACTAAAACTAACCTTGCTGACAGGAAAAACTCAAAAGAACAGTCCAAAGGTAACCAAGGCAAGAACCAAACAGGAGACTGATAGGAAAAACTTAAAGCGGGCAGGCAGTGTGTCGTACCTAGCGAGACGGACAATGGGGGCAACAAGGCATGGAGAACAGTTGAGCCAGCAACTGGACTGAGAGAAGGGAGGAGGATATATAGACAGGAGACCGGGCGTAACGAGCAGCAGGTGGAAGCAATGAACAGAAATTGTGAACCGGGGTAAAGCTGGTGCGGGTGAGGTAACACAGGACAGGAAATCTAACCAAGAAAACAAGCACAAAACAGAAAAGCTGTCGTCATCGGTGTGTGAATGTGTGCGTGAATGGGTGAATGGTGGTATGATCTCCCTGTAAAGCGCTTTGGAAAAAAGCGCTATATAAATACAGTCCATTTACCATGTATCCGTTTGGACAGTTTTGAAGATGTCAAAAGTCGAAAAGCAAAAGTCGCTGATTATCATGTACATACTGTATGTAAGTATACTGTAGTTCTCATTTTTCATTTTCAGTTTTTGAATGGCTATATCATATCCATGTGTTTACTTCAATAAATGTATGTTGTATAGACAAACAAAATTTGATATGTTATAAAGGGATACTGCTTTGTGCTTTACCAGCAGAATCACAGTGGATCTGAGCCCTGTCATTGGCATCCACAGAGGCCTTGCTCATCCTGCACAGCTAGAAGAAATGTCTCTGAAGCTGCTACTGCTGCAAGACTGGTGAGTGGAGCTGGACGGGTGGGGACACATGTGGGCGGAACATTGTTGTACCTCAGCACTGTTAGGAAGTGGCTACTTTGTTGTTTAGTCCAATGACCCCGTTTCTTCTTCCTACTTATAGGCTCTTAACCTATGTTCAAACACTAGACGGTAATGTGTTGATCATAATGTAAAGCTTTAATCTCTTATTTTAGTTTGCAACACACAACCAAACTGTTTGTTCAGTTTAAAACAAATCTGGTGTATTTGTATGCTTTGTTTAATTTGCTTAGGTTGGTGTGAAAGTGTTGTGTGTTATGCAGAGGTTGTTTTATGACAGAATAAAATCAAACCTAAGTTCTGCCACACATATCACATATTTCTCCATAATGGTCCACTGTCCTATGAATGAGTTACCTGTCAGTCCATTTGTCTTCATGTTGACACCTCTGAGTTTGTTTGTAATGAGCCAGTGTGAACACAAACTGGACCAGAAGTAAAAGGAAACAAGAGTAGTTTTCCTCTCTTGGTATGGACTGAACCAAAACACAGTATAACTGAACATAATCTTGAAATACATGACACCTTAAGACAGTGACATCATTTGTTTGTTTGCTTTAGCACAAACCTGCATCCTGCTCAGACCTGCTTAGTGACTACAGCTGCATACTCATATGTTCTCACTCTATTCTAAGCGAGTAGTCATGCTTTTGTAATATGGTGATGGCCAGTGGGAAACAGATGGCTGTTGTAATGGATGTTGTAATGCAATAAGTACAATATTCCCTGAACTAAAATTGCTATTAATAGCAGTCAGTGCAGTTATGTTGTTGTTGCTGTTGCTTAAAAGAGGGTAAATTACAAACTGTAAATAATAAATGAAAATCCAGATAGTGTTTTTCACATATATATTTATGTGAATGGAAAACATCTTGAATTAATACGAGCAACTTTGTGACTGAAGTCAAGAAATTAGACTTTTAAATTGTGACAGACGATGAGAAACAGCACTGTTCCTGACTGGTCTGGGACGCTGAGAGCCCACAGCGGACTCTGATTCAGGAGACAGGTTTTGACTGTGGGACAAAACAGGTGTATAAGGCATTCATAAAATCTGTTGTTTTGTTCCTGTGGCCAACGGGCTTACGAAACATGACCTCAAAGGAATTCTGTGTATTTATGGACAGTGTGACATGCAGAAAAATATTTTTCCACATTCCTGTTGCTCCGACTACTCTCCCGTATTTTTTATGGTCTTGTTGTTCACCACTATTCAGTCCAAGCAGTGACCCAGCATAAAATATTGTCCAACTGTACTAGTTCTTTAAAAACTCCATGCTTCCCCTGTCCCGTGCTGTTTGACGTATATATCTCTTGACCCCACAAGTTAACCTTATTAGTGGTTCAGTCCTCCCCTGCATCTATTGTTCTGTTCAAACACGTCACAGGAACAGCCAAGAACCGAGCACATCCTGTGTCTCTGCAGCTTCACCTTGACATCAGACCCTCAGCGGGAGCAGACGCCTGCTTGTTAGCTTTGACGTTTTCTAACCAGCCTTCCTGGAGTCTGAGACACATGAGATTCACCAGAATTACAGTCATTCCCTTTGACCTCATTTCCTGTTGTGTGTTTGTAGCTGTGAATGGAATCTAAACACCACTGTAAGCCATGGCTAAGTGTATTTGTCTACGAGCTGCTGCAGTTTTGCTCTTTGTTGTCATCTCTTTCTTTACACACCTTTCCTGTTTGAGAGGTTCTTATCACACTTTTTGAAAACATAATCAGAAAAGTTGGATTTGCTGGGAATTGATACATCAGCTACTGTAAGATAAAATACAGTGTACATCAGTGGTGTTGCAGTGGAAAACATCGATGAAAACAATATCCATATACATGTTTAAAAAAATCTCAACTAATCATTAAAAAAATGTTTAAAGATCAGCTTCTTTTTCCTTTAGAACCCAGTATGTTTGTTCTTGTCGATGTTATTTAGTGCTTAAAAAATTTTCAGAGGAAAGAAAAGAAAAACTTATTGTGTTTCTCATGGAGATGTGCACGCTTAAAATTCTCAAGCGCTTGTTTGGATCGATTATTACCAGTAAATGATTTGGGCCCCTGCTGAATGAATTTATAAACCAAGAAATATTGATTATTATGAGATAATCAGAAGTTGTAGTATGATGAGTCCTCTGTGAGTTGAACACAGTGACCTAGCGAGGGTTAACATGAGCAGTGCGGTGTTCCCTCCTCCTGATGTTGACTGAGCACTCGCACTTTCTCCACTGAGGCCAGTACAGAGCCAGAGAAGAGGGACTGTGTGCAGCTCTGAAAGCCAGCTGTCCTTTGCTCAGAGCTGGGTCTTTTCTCTCCCTGACTCCCCGGTTTCCACTGGCCTCATCACTCCATGGGACTCCAGACCTGGCGACCAAGTAAACCACCACTGTCCTCTATGGCCTGCCTTGATGTGGAGACCCCCTCCATCTGCAGGGGTAAATTCAAATCAGGTGCTTTTTCTTTCCTCTGCTTTTTTGGGGGTGGGGGGGTGCTACCTGTATGCATTTCATAGTTTTACTTGAATAGCTGCATAAAGTAAACTCATGTTTTTTACTGCTTGTTTGCCATTATTGATGCTGATAGCAGTTGCAGGGGGTTTGTAGTGATGTAGACACAGAAATGGCAGGTCAACAGCAAAGGGATTCATGCCAAGCATCTTTCTTTCAGCTACTGTGTTTTGAGGGATTAATAAACCAAACTTGTTCTGGAAAAAGAGTCTTTGAGGGACAGGTTTAGAAGAAAAGACATCAGTCTGACTGCCCATGTTTATACTGTTACTTTGTTGAAACACCACTGTGTTTTTTTGTCTCAATATAAGTATGAATTCACTTCTGTAGTGTAAGTACACATCGTGAGTTTCATTCAAATGAGGTGTATTACACAGATGTGTCGCTGATCAAGATTCTGATAATCGTTTGCATATTTTCATTCTTCTTTGTTTGCATTCACCTGCAGCAGACCAGGCCTTCAGTAATGATAACTGTAGCTTTCAGTGATCAAACCAATGTTACTGCTGTTTAGGTTCTGTACTAGATTATGATTAACCTACCGTGAAGTCGCATTTGATTAAAAAATATTTGCCAGCCACCGAAGCGCATGAGGTATCTAAGGTCCGTGTTGTGATACAGTCATTTTGCATCCTACAGGTGATAATGTACAGCATTGCTTTTTACAGTTATAGGAAAAGGCATTACAACACTGAAATGACTCCTTGCAGCAAATTGTTGATTTGTATCTGTCAGGGCCAGCATGCAGAGTTGGAGGACATGCCCACTCATGAGGAAGGAAACTTGTTTTCTCATAACTTTGAGTCTGGCTTTACCTTAGGTCAAAGTGTTTATTTGTCATATGCACAGTTAGGAAACCTTAGGCTAACCGTAACCCTAACCTCTTAGGCTGTTTGGCTTAAAAAATACAACTTTGCTCAAATGCTGTGAGTTAAACTAGTATTTTACACTGATATAGTATAAATTTGGTTTCCAACAGCCACATTCTATAGCCTAGTGCCTTCTCAGCTAAAATTACTACAGATACGTTAGTCTAACATCGTTGGGGCAAACCATTTGATATGCAGGTCAACTGCTCACCTGTCTACATTGAGGAATTGTCTATATACTGTTATTTTTTACAATATAACACAAAGTCTACCAATTAAATTCAGGAATTTTCTGGGACTTTTTGCAGCATATGAAAGCAATAAAAGGAAAAGTCATCTGAATCTGCTACTGTACACACAAATGACATTCTCAATAAACCAATACAATCTGCGTGTGCTTGGTTTAGTCTGTCTCTGGTTGTAAAATGGGATTCTGTTTAAAGTCTCTGGTATTTATAACAGCAAAGTCAACATAACCCAGTGTCAGTCTGTTTCGATACTAAATTCAGCTTTGTCTGGGCAGGGAGCATCTGTCGCTACATCAAACGGTATTTTCGTTTTTATTTTCCCTGTTTCTAAAAAGGATAAAAAGTCAAATAAAATCAAAGCTCTGATGGGAGACCTCCAGGGATGATTTCCTGAGAACAACATGGGTCTGAGATTAGAGATTACATCAGTAGACAGGGATTCGAGCAGAGCCTTCTCTCTGTGTTTCTCCAAAACCTCTGTTTACGCTCTGCTAGCGAGCATGAGAGTGGAGCCGGTTTACATCACGGGGAGGTTAGTCAGGGTTCAGGTTGAGTGAGGAGGGCCCCGGGCATGAGCTGTACCCCTGGTACTGATGCTCAAATTAAACTTAGCATTCTCTTGTGGCACTGGCAGGCAGTTTTAGATGTTGTTGATATGCTGTAATATGCACTATTAAATGTTACTGCCTGTGGCATTCTCTCCACGTCACAGCTAAATGTTGAGACAAACCAATGGCAATTTTTTTTTTTTTTTTACAATCTCTGGGTATGATTTGTCTCTGGCTAACCGTAACCCCCACCCCACCAGCTTGGGTTTGTAATAGGAAACAGCAGGCAGGGCAGGCACACTGTGTTCTTTGCTCCAGAGCTGATGGGTTGCTCTGAGAGTGGACTCAGCCTCCCACCCTCTGCCTCAGCTCTTGCCTCTTGCTCACCAGTAGAAACTTGTGAATGTCCCCTCGGCTCTGTGTACAAACTGGAGATCCCAGCCCCTTAACCACCCCCAAATTTCATGGTTCCCAGGCCTTGTTCTCACAGCTGCCCGGTTTATTTTTGCTAGAGTGAGTCACAGAGGGCTGCTCAGACGCAACGCCATTCCCAGGAGAGTTGAGCAGGTCTGCTGTATGTGTGTGTGCATGTGTGTGAGTGGGAGAAGGAGAAGTTGTTTCACTGGGTAGATCTATCTAAGTCAGTTTCACTTCACTACAGTGGTGATGATAAGGGCTTCACATACCTCATACTGCTGCCTCATTCATCACCATCACTCAGCATCTCGCTCATTTTTTTTGCTTTTTTCCACACAGAGATGTGTTATTCTACTGAAATAACATGTCCATGTTCACTTGTTTATAAATGTTTAAACCTGGATCTTACTACAGTTTATATTGATGGGACCGTGGACTCATACTGTATATGGGGCCTGTGTGCGAGAGTCAACCATTTCTACTGGAAGAGAGTCATGGCTTTGATGTTCCACAGTAACACAGCTGATCGCTGCTTATCCATCAAAAGGAAGATTAGAATATAAAAACCATTTATTAACTAGACATGAATCACTTTGATCTCCAGTTCTGCTCATTAGCAGCTCTGACATTAATTCAACCAGATAAAATAGCTTGTACTTACTTTAACTGCATTTGCATCCTACAAAAAGATATCGACTCTCAATGGGAAGGCTCTCGGCCAATCACACCACACTGTTGAGTCTGTTTTGCTGTACTTTTAACAACCCCAGTTAAACATACACAGGAAGTGAATAGGATGTCTGTGGTGAGAACAGGGTTTACTCTCAGACCTTTGAGGTACCGCATTGACTGAGAAATAATAAGTACTTTGTTGTGTTTGAAGTCTGGAAGGTTTCACAGTTTAAAGCCAGAGATGGCTGTTAGCTGACTCAGATGAGTTGGCTCCTGACCTCTGTGTCACTCTCAGTTCTCCAGCTTTGTCTGCAGCAGAGGAGAACTCGGGAGCAGCTTGTGGAACAAGGGATCATGCCACGTGAGTATTCACAGCCCACTCTTACCAACTGTTCTTAAAGATCTAAATCCAGACTGCAATATATGGATAGTTACACTTTTTTTTTTTGCTCTTCAGGTTGTGTTTCAGCACATTCAATTTGAAATTTAAAAAAGGATATTACATTCAAGCAGTGGCAGAAAGTAATTAAGTACATTTATTCAAGTACTGTACTTAAGTACAAGTATGAGGTATCTGTACTTGAGTACTTTCATTCTCTGCTACTTTATACGAAAGTCACGACATTTTAAAGACAAATATTCTACTTATTACTCCACTACATTTATTTAATAACTTTAATTGCTTTTCAGGATCTGAGTAACAAAGCAAAGTACAATACAACCATAAGACTTTACTGATCACTGATGGGAAATTCACAAGCTACCCATCATTACTTCAAGTTATACACATATAAGGTAGTTAAAACTATCTCTGCCTTTACCAGCTGAAACATTTAGATGTGATTTGCACAATAATGTAATTATAATCAAATAACATGACATACATGAATAGGAAATGTGCTTTACTGCATCATGAGTACTTTTACTTTTGGTAATTTCCATATAGTTTGATGCTAATACTTTTGTAGTTTTACCTAAGTAAACTGTGAATCCAGGACTTTTTTTGTAGCAGAGTATTTTTGCACTCTGGTATTACTACATTTAATTGAGTAGAGAATCTAAGTACTTCTTCCACCGCTGCCAAGTACCAAATTCATTTGAGTAAAATAGGTTTATATCAATATAGAAAGAACTGTGTGTGTGATGTAGCCCTTTTAACATATAGTGCATGTTAATGTAATGTCCAATATTATGGAGTATCTATTTTTATGTAGATTTTTATAGTGTGGTTTTGCTACATTTATTTAAGTTAATAATTTGAGTATTTCTTCTATGACTGGTTGAGGGTGTTTGCCCTTGCATTTGTACTTGTAATGTAATACTGTGGTTGCATCATTCTGCTAGTTTAAAAATAGCAAATGTTGAAAGTGATGCAAATATGTATCAAAGGTGAGCCACCCAGCAACACGCTAGAACTAAACCAGTAAGGACTGTTAAAACCATCTGCAGTCCTGCTTTGAAAAAAGTGGAGCAGACTCAGTCCCTGTGCTTCCTTCCCAGGGTGTGAAAGTTACAAAGCAAAGAAGACATAGCTCTTCCTCTTTGTCCTGTTCACTCTTGAGAAACCTCTTACTGTCAGGATTTCAGCTCCTCTCTGGCTCCACACAGCCACATGAGTCAGCGACTGAGCCTTCAGTGGAGGTCATTCACCCCCTATGTGGCCTGCCCTGGCTTTGAACACAAACCTCCCTGGCCACTCTCTACTAAAGCACTTTACTGCTACCACACATA